ACATATATATCATTCGATGCGGATTGACGAGAGGATCACGATGATGCCCTTAGTTTGTTCCTATCTTGACTAATTCGAAAGTTATTCGAGAAAAACTCTCTCCATATCTAGCGCCGCCATTTTGACTTTTTCGACCCCTGTGACGTCACCTTTGACCTGACCTGAAAATGACCTTTGTAAAAATTGTAGATCTTGACCGTGCGTATCCGATGCCGTTTACCGTTTGTCGCTGCGATGTGTAGTTTTTGAGATCTGAAGGGGGGCCGAATCGGCCCCCCCCCCGCCAGTTTCTTGTCCCGGCGGAGCCCGCCAGGAATAGGGTTAACCCACTTTATATTCACGAGGCCCCTTTCTCAGCTTCGGAGGTCCCTAAAAAGTAAAAGTCCTACTTTTTCGAAAAACTCATCGGATTTCACTCACTTCATGGAGGCCCTCTTTTCAGTTTTTTTCTTCATTAATTTTATTTCTTAAGACTAAAATATCGCTCAAGGGAGGGGCCATGGCCCCCATCGCCCCTCTCTTGTATCCGCGCCTGATATGATTCAGACATGACACATTACTCACTAACTAGGTACAATTTTCCCCAAGTGATACCTACATTAAATACCAAAAAAAAAAAACACGCATCTTTTTTCAATTTGATACACTTACACAGTATAGGTATACGGCCTTTTGACTCACCTGCAAAACTCAAGGATACACCGATTGCAAGACGCAAACGACAGCAATTCTTTCCTTTTCTTAGCAGCCCTGTTCTGTGCACCAGATTTCTTTCGCGTTCTTTTGTTGCCTGAATTCATTTTTTGCTCACTGCTGTTTAGTCATCCAATACAAAGGACCGTGCTACAGTACTTTACATATAATTTTTAACCCGCGCCTTGCTGGGGGGGTGTTTGAACACCCCCCTTGTGGTTTTTCGCGAATATCTCAAAAACGGCGGCGCGGAGCGCCGCCGTTTTTGGTACACCTTATCATACATTAATTCTACACATGTTGTGAAAATTTCAGACCAAGGTCATTCAAGGTCAGGTCACCAGGTCAGTTGAAGTGACCTCACCTCATAAAAAGTTTCAATGTCTGTCATAGCTACACCGAGTGACCGATCGCTTTGAAACTTTCAGCGATTGCTAAGAGCAATAGCATGTACAAAACGTATATCTCAGAATTTTGATATCGATGACCTAAGGTCAGGTCAATTTTGCGACCTCCCCATTATAAGTCAATGGGAGAAAATTGAAATGCGCCTCTTTTGGACTAACATAGGCGCGGGAGCCGGGGGGGCAGTGGGGGCAGCTTGCCCCCCCCCCAACTCTGGGGCCGTGGGGGCGGTGCCCCCACAGCTTTGAGACGGAATACCACACTTTTTTGCAAATGTTTTCTTTTTTTGTTGAAAAATCCGAGGGGTGAAAAATAAGTGGCCTAAAACCGGTGAGAAACCTAGATTTGGGGGTAGGTACCCTAGGTTAATCTCTATAATTATGGTGTGCCCCCCCCCCCCCCCCAGTCGGAAAGTAGTTCCCGCGCCCCTGTGGACTAAAGACATTATAAACACTCCCAAACACCGAATTACCAGTGGTTTAGACACACTGAACATGAAAATGGTGTCCGTGACCCTTGTTTATGCCCTGAGGTCATCTTGGGTCACGAACGGTATCTAACAGTTTTTCGCAAATAACTTTTGATAGAGGCATGCTAGAGCGATGAAAACGCCTTAGATGTGTTCAGCTCGACGATACGGATCGACTGATATGCAACATGACCCTTTCCGGTCAGGTCATGACCTTGACCTGAGGTCAAATTTTCAAGTTGACCTTTCAAGGTCAAGGTATAGTTCATTCGATGCGTCTTGACGAGAGGAACACGATGCCGGTAAAAGTAAGCTCGTACAGGGCTTGGGTCAAAAGTTATTGCAGAAAAAACTGTTTCCGAAAAAATCGGCTATTTTTGCAGTTTTTGCCGCCTGGAGGCAAAACCGTTGACGTTAGGTCAAATCTGAGAGAATTACTCAGAAAGGGTGTTAATAGGGCTATCGAATGCGCTTTTCCGCGGCGCTGTAGCTCTATTGGTTCCCGAGTTATGCGTTGGCTTCTTGGAAATTTTCGACATTCGACCTGGAAATCGGCGAAATTTTGCCTTCAATGACCTCTGGTGACCTGACCTTTGACCTGACCAAAAAATTGACCGAAGTGATTTCGTCATTATTTTTGACGCTCTTTCGAACGCCGCCTTCCGCGTATCGCTACGTGGCCCAGGAGCCGAGTTACAAGGGGGGTGTTCAAACACCCCCCCCCCCCCAGCAGGGCGTGGAAATCCAGGACCCCCAGCCGGGCGCGGGTTAATATGAACGGGGTTCTAACTTCTATGCTTAAATTTGAATTTTGAGCCCGACCCAGCGTCTCGGAAAGCGTCAGCCGTTAACGGTTTTTGTTAGGAAAGCAGAAAACAGCCGAAATATCAGACAACTACAAGTACTATAATAAAAAATTAACGATGTTTATTGTTCTTAATACTATAGTACTAATAATAATTGGCTATAGAAAATAAATGTTGGATTTAAAAGAAAAAATACAGATAGGTTCAAGTCTTATAACTATAAGAATGTTATAATACTATAATAATAAAATAACTTTACCTATCATCAAGCTATAAGATTAGGAACATGGCCATGGGAGCTATTTAGAGACTAGAGCTGCAGCATTTCTACATATCCCATAACTGACACCATACTCATGAAGTCGGAGGGCGCCTTCTGACCAGAAGCACGCCAGTGAGCCGGGAGGGCGCCCTCTGATCAGAAGCACGTCAGTGTGTCGGTGGGGCGACCTCTGATAACAAGTACCTCACCGGTGAGTCGGAAGGGCGCCTTACGATCAGAAGCACGCCAGTGGGTCAGGAGGGAGCCTTACGATCAGAAGCACGCCGGTGAGTGGAGAGGGCGCCTTCTGAACAGAACCATGCCGGTAAGTCGAGAGGGCGCCCTCTGAGAAGATGCATTCCAATTAGCCGTGAGGGCGCCTTCTGATAAGAAGCATGCTAGTGAGTTGGAGGGCGCCTTCTGGTCAGAAGCACGTCAGTGAGCCGGGAGGGCGCCCTCTGATCAGAAGGACACCAGTGAGCCGGGAAGGTGCCATCATCTAGGAGAGCGCCGCTATCGACTGGAGGAGCGCAAACACTGGACAGAGGGGCGCCGCCATAATCTAGGAGCGCGCCGTTATCGACTGGAGGAGCGCCAACACTGGACAGAGGGTCACCACCATCGTCTAGGAGGGCACCGCTATCACTGAAGGAGCGCCAAGACTGGACAAAGGGGCGTCGCCGTCATCATCTAGGAGCTTCGTCGCTGTCAACTGGAGGGGCGCCAACACTGGACAGAGGGGCGCCCCATCATCTAGGAGCGCGCTGCTATCGACTGGAGGAGCGCTAACTCTGGACAGAGGGGCGCCGCCATCATCTATAAGCGCGCCGCTACCGACTGCAGGAGCGCCAACTCTGGACAGAGGGGCGCCGCCATCATCTAGGAGCGCACCGTTATCGACTGGAGGGGCGCCAACACTGGACAGATGGGCGCCACCATCGTCTAGGAGGGCGCCGTTATCACCAGAGGAGCCGGAGCGCCAACACTGGACAGAAGGGCGCCACCATCATCTAGGAGGGCACCGCTATCACTGGAGGAGCACCAAGACTGGACAGAGGGTTCGCCGTCATCATCTAGGAGCTCGTCGCTGTCGACTGGAGGGGCGCCAACACAGGACAGAGGGGCGCCACCATCATCTAGGAGCGCGACACTGTCGACTGGAGGGGCGCCAATACGGGACAGAGGGGCGCCGCCATAATCTAGGAGCGCGCTGCTATCGACTGGAGGAGCGCTAACTCTGGACAGAGGGGCGCCGCCATCATCTACATAAGAGCGCGACACTGTCGACTGGAGGGGCGCCAACACTGGACAGAGGGGCGCCACCCACCATCATCTAGGAGCTCGACGCTATCGATTGGAGGGGCGCCAATACTGGACAGAGGGGCTTCGCCATCAACTAGAAGCGCGCCGCTATCGACTGGAGGAGCGCCAACACTGGACAGAGGGGCGCCAGTCACTGAGGGCGCCGGGGACGATGAGCCAAAGGGACAGGGCATGCACGGAATGTCCTGTATGTGCGTACGCCACTGGATAAAGGTGTGCAATATGCCCACTGCGTGCATTGACCATAAAACCAACGCTTGTTATTGCATCGTCGTATTTAATTAACATTGATCAAAATACGGCTTATCATTTCATAGCGATCGGGATATTAACTGCTGCAAAAGAAAACAACACCCAGAGTGTGAATATTGATGTAATCTTGTACGTGCTCAACGTCCGTCTTCCTTTGTACAGCTATACGCTTGTGTGCACTGAGAACCTGCTTGACTGTATTGTTCTAGCGATCCAGAGCGTAACATTCCGTTTGACTACAGACCAAATCCACATATTTTCCGATATCGTGGCCGAACTAGAAACCTGCTACTCGAGGGATGAGACATGGTGTCACTAACTAGTTATTTAACATCGATATGCCTGGTCAACGCTGTCAGTTGATTACTGACGTGGAGGGGGGGGGGGGGGGGGAAGCGTTAGATTACTGCCTCCATCTCTGGTCGTGAACTGTACGGGACGGGACGGTAGGCGGAGCCGTTCAAAAAGCGCGCCACAAATAATTAAATTCGTCGAGCAGTAATTAACTCACGTCACGACAATGGCTCGGCGAGACGGGAGGGGAGAGTGTATATACATCCAGTAGGGTGTAAAAACGCCAGACAGCTGAGCAAATCAATACTATCTCGATATCTGTAACATATACCGGCATTACTGGTGACATGCCCGCCTGGTAAAAGTGCGTATGTAGGTTGAAGCGCATTTGTCTTGGTGGTGCTCTATTCAGTTCTGCCCGAAACAGGACACCCACTAGCCGTCACGGTTCATTGCATCAGCTCGCAGTGCGACGACAAATGAAAAGACTTTGCGGTCATTTTCCGTTGCATATTTTATTGTTGTTCTCAAATCATGAACAATATTACACACAAGATCCAGCGCCATACGTCAAACGATGATATGATCTGGCTGCGTTTTCTATTCGCCACTCGTTTAGCTAGGTTAGGGTCTCAGCGCATCACAGGTTCTCCTGCATTTACCATAACAAACATCTGTTAAACGCACCACCCTGATCAGTTGCATACAAGAAAACGTGAAATGGCAATGTGTCAGGACAAGGCAAGTAGGTAGTGCGGCGGGCATTTGTTCCGTCATAATCTTCAAACACGCCGAAGAATATCATGTCGGGCCGAAGAATATCATCGATTATCCATGGGCATTGGACACACAAGTCGGAAAAAATTTATCCCAGCGACCGACGAAGGATCCCAGTGGGCCCTGATCGGCAGTAGACGTCTTTCCGGGATGCGGGTGGTCTTCCGATCGAGCGCTGCGCGTGCTGCTGAAGATGTCCCCGGAAGACCAGGGATCATGGAGGCCTGTGAGCAGAAAAAGTTAATGTAAGCATACAGCACACAGATGCAGCGTAAGCAGCCCTTCAGTTAAATTATGCCAGAATGAATAGGAAGTTTTTCTAAGACGACGTTCTGACGGTTTGCAGTTTCCCATTACGGTATATACTGACTTAACAATAGTTGTCGTTTGTGGCGCAGCGGCATTGCCTCTGTACTGATCAAAACTCGGAAAGAATTATCCAAAGGATATCTAAGCATATCAAAGCATACTAAGCATATCTTTTGATCGCCGATATAGATACTCTTTCAGAAAAATTCCAGCTGGCGGACTACCCCACGGAGCTGATCACTCCTCAGATAATGCAGTGCACTTACATCATCGGATGCTGTTTTGGTAGCACTGCAGGGCGACCAGTGACGTCACCAGCACAAGAATATCGACGGCGAGCCGGCATAATCCCTGAGAACAAAACAGATAGAAGGTCAGATGTGGAAGAGAAATCAGAGTAAGCCGCTAGTTAGACCAGCAACGATAACATATTTAAAACTTCGGTGTAAAAAACGATCATTTAAGAATTGGCAATGTGAAAGAAGGACACATAGCATCTGCCGTTTGAATTGTCATCTTGTTGATCATTTTCTATCACCTGAGTTTATCCAAGGGCACAACCAACTCTTCACGAGCGCTCGATGTTATAGTACAGTAGCTAATTTCACCAATTCATAGTAGCCTTCTCTCACCTCTGACCAGTCCCCTCCTGCGCCATAGTCAGCTCAGCAGCACCATCTGGGCGAGTGGCGTCGATCGGTAGATGGATGGCAGCGGCGCCACCATCGACACGGAGACGGAGACGGCCGGAAAGACGGCCGGAAAGACGGCCCGGAAAGACGGCTCGGAGAGACGGTCCCGCGGAGACGGTCACCGCGCCAGAGCAGCTTCAGGTGAGGTCAGCGGTCACTGCAGCAGAGCTCGAGCAAATGCGACATTGGGAGTTGGGTGCTGGTGGTTATGTCAGTGCTGGTGATGACATTAATGTACATAGGACGAGTGGCGTACAGTAGGATTGTAGCCCTTTGGCCTACAATGTTATTGGTATCTACGAAAACGTAGCACGGCACACATTTGGCCGGTATAATGAAAAGGACGAACTTTCTGTATGCATGCATGAGTCTGTTTGTGCACGTGTGTACTTTCTATCGCAAGCTTTCCGCGCACATACGGCATGACGACTTTTCTATATATACCTTTTTGCACCTCAAATCGGCATTTTTTTCATTCAATTCGGCGAACTGCATTCAATCTTAGCGATCTTGCACTGGCTTCGAATGGGGGCATATCCAGTTTGTTTTGCGAACGGTGGCGGAGGAGGTGGGTTCGGCGGTGACAAAAACCGCCGGAACACTTTTTTTCTCTCTCTCTCTCTCTCTCTCTCTCTCTCTCTCTCTCTCTCTCTCTCTCTCTCTCTCTCTCTCTCTCTCTCTCTCTCTCTCTCTCTCTCTCTCTCTCTTCTTGCACGCCACGCGTGGGCCCCCTAGGGGGCCCGCCGCGGGAGCACGTCGACGGGGGGGGGGGGGTCGGCGCGCCCCACTCCTCGGAGAAACTCCGTGATCTTGGTTGCCGGCTCCTGGAAGATTTCCCGGAGTGTTGTTGTGAAACCCCAGAGCCGGCCTCGGGTGCGGGAGTATGCGGGACACTCCGTTAGCGCAGGTGCTCGACGCTATCGGGCTCGGAGCAGGGAGGGGAGCGGTCGTCTTCCACGAGCTCCAGCCGTAGCAGCGTATCCCGGGTGAGGGCCATCATCGAGACCCCTTTCTCGTGGGGATGGCGTCTCCCCAGCTGGGGAGCCAAGTGCCTCGGACTACACGCACGGAACACTTCTTCCTCGGCCTCGTCGTCCCAGTCGGTCATGTCCGACCAGGGCTACGCGCACCGCACCACCTGCCCGACCGGCTCCCTGCGGTCCCAGACGGGCTGAGTCGGGGACAGCTCGTAGACCGTCTCAGAGTCTGCCTCCGAGTCCCCGTCATCGTCGGATGATGTAGGTGTCGGCGGAGTCGGCGGCGGCGGCGTCGGTCGGGACGACGCCCGAGCCATCTCCTCAACGTCGGAGGCTTTGATTCGTCGTCATAGTGTCAGTTAACAAGCGGAGTCGGAGGAGTTGTAATGGCTCCTCCTCCTCCTCCGCTTCTGTCCCCCAGTCCTCCGACTCGTCCGACCATGGGGAGGCGCACCGCACCACCTCTCCGACCGGCTGGGAGAGGTCCCACACGGGCTGGGTCGGGGACAGCTCGTACGCCGTCTCCGACTCTGCCTCCGAGTCCCCGTCATGGTCGGGTGATGTAGGGGGCGGAGTCGGCGGCGGCGTCGGTCAGGACGACGCCGGGGCCATCCCGTCAACGTCGGGAGTCGTTGTCTGTGGGCCGTCCATGCTGAAGGAGGGGAAAAGTTCATAGTCACTCGTGATTCAAGCAACAATGTCTGCACCGTCCGAAATGTCTGCTGCTCATATTATCCGTCAATACTGGTTGTGGGGTAATGTCACCTACCCCCCATTCTTCCATTAACACATGTACTCTATGGGTCAATGCCAACGAGATAAGTGAACAATGGGCACATACACATGATGGGACTCACCACAAAAATACAATATGCCCCGCCGGAGGGCTATCTCAATCCTACCCCGAATATTATCTAAATACCATCACCGCAACTAAGGTTCCGTTTTCAAACACTAGATAATCTATGTCAAGGCACCATCACCACAAGTACCGCACCGCCTATAACTACGCGTTTCACAATACATAAAATAAATACTGTCACCGCGATCACCACGCCGCACTTATTCTACTTATATTTACATAAATGGCATGCTATCGTAACGTGTCAATTTCATTTGCCTTAAACACCTATATGTATGTACAGTCCTTAACCACGCTACCTCAGTAGGTATAACGTCAATAGGTACCTGGTCATCTCCAGATGGCATGGCATTCTCAGCAACAGTCCCGGTGCGCGCGCGTGTGTGTGTGAGTGATCTAAACCCAAGAAAGGCGTCACAATGCACATGTGTCCTTTTTGTGGTCGCTTTCACTTTTTGACGATATCGATTCTCTTGCCGACGGCCGCGCCCGCGGCATATTGACTGCTCGTCCAATGTCCGGGTCCCTCTGCCTCACCATAATCCTCACATTCAGTCCTGGTCTGTCACGAGACGCATCTTCCTGTCACTGTTCTCGCGATGTGCGTGAAAACACTCATTGTCCGCAAAAGCACTGCACTCGATATCCTCCATTCGATAGCCGCGAAAGCACCACCTCGGTCGTCGGCACAGTCTGTGCGCGGCGATCGTAGGGTGAGCACCGACGAGGGGTGCTCCCCACAACCGGTGATTGTGTGAGAATCATGCTCATAGTGGTGTAGTGTATGTGGTACTAGTCGCGGCGTCTTCTTGCCTCTGGCCTTCCGGGACGCTCCAAGGAGCCTACCCGGGACCAAGGCGCCGCCTCTCCTATTAGATGGTGCGGAGCCGCCACGGCACCCCTTCTTATCCACGACAGTCCATCACAACGTCTACATCGTCGCGCACTACAAGGGCAGCTGCGGCTCGGCAACTCCAGTTCGACCTGGACGCAAGCGGAGCCGAGCTGGCCGGCGCCTCCGGTGGGACGGCCCCAGTGGGTCTGCCTGCCCTCGGATCAGTGTAGGGATTGTAGGAATTTAGGCGTATTAATGTATTAATGTGGCCGTGAAATATTATGCAGGGATTGTAGAAATTTAGGCGTATGAATGTGAACGTGTGCTATCCTTTGTTCGTCCGTTTGTTCGTCCGTTGCGCCCGCGTCCGCGTTGGGAGTTACATCAGTGGAGGTCAGCGTGATGGTAACCAAGCGCGCTGGTTGGTCGGCCTTAGCCTCGGGCCGGCTGACGTGGGGCGTTCCCGCCTCGAGCCCGGTACATAAGCACAGCAAGAGGAGGAGTCGGGGCTCAGTGTCTGCCTGCCTAAGTGCTGTGCTGCGCTGTGCCCGACTACTCTTCTGCTGCGGGCTCTCCTGGCTCGAGGTAGGTTTCCGTCACGCAGGGATTGTCGCGGGCTCACGGACATCCCTTAGCTAGGATAGGAGCACCTAGGTGGAGGATTAGGTAGATTCGCGCGTCGATTGTCGTGAGGGTATTGATAGGGTAGCACGCGGAAGTTATTCCGTCAGGGTTCAAATGATTCTCTAGCAGTCCTTTCATGATGTTCGGCTTTGATAATATATGTGGGTATGAATTGACCAGAAGCTTTTGGAAATGGAATGGGTCGGAGGAGAACGGAAATTGAGCGGAGCGGAGTCAGATTCATTCGGTGCTTAGATAGTCATTATGGTTCAGGAGCTTAGCTCCAAACCCAGGGTTCGCTACCAACTGCGTGTGCCCCAAAATGGCCGAGTTATTCACCTGAACCAGGATGCATAGTTTAGTACATTTAGTTTAGAGGACAGTGGCCCGGGTGGCAGACGGGTAAAAGGCTGGGAGACGTCCCGGCCGACCACTGATCCTATACAGTAAAGTAGAGATCCGGAGGAGAGGTAACGAAGGGCCCACAGGACCGGCCTAAGCCCCCTTCACATAATGGTGCATCTCGGCCGGGAACGTTCTTTCAAGTGAAATTCGGCTGAACAACGTTTTTTCCCGGTAGGTCAGGCACGCCATTATGTAAATCTTCAACTGTGTTAATGAAACGCCCTGCCGTAAAGTCCGGAATCGCTTGTTAGTATAACGTGGTTTTGTAAATCTTAAACTGTGTTAACAAACGGCTAACAGTAAGTCGTAAAAACGTTTTTCATTATTGCTGGTATGAGGATACGACGCTAACGTAAGACTTAAACTGCATTTGGCGAAACGGCCTGCTGTAAATCCAGTGCGCTTGCTCAGTAGGTACGTGATTTTGTAAATCTGAAACTGTGTAAATCAGACGGCTGCAGCTGTTGGACGCGCCCACCGAATTGAGCTTGAAAGAACGGTCGAATGAGCCATTCTAAATTTATTAAATTACTCCGCTCAATATCCGAACTTCTGAGAACAAACGAGCCAAGCCAGCAGCCAAAATTGATAGGCAAAAGTTTGCGATGACTGCAATAGGCAATGCAGAGCCACACGCGGGGCGAGAGACAGTCCCTGCGAACGGGAGTCGCGTGCTGCAACAAGTACAGCGATGAGAAATGCGCTGCAATGGAAGTGTAGCGCTGCGATGAAGGCAATGCAGCGCCAGACGCGGGGCGACAGAATGTCCCTGCGAACGAGAGTCGCGTGCTCCAACAAGTACAGCGATGAGAAATACGCTGCAATGGAAGTGTAGCTGTTACCGCCGGTGCCATTGTTTGTGTTTAATGTGTAAGCCCCGTTGCATCAGCTGGCTCTCTTTCCTTTGCAGTCGTCTTGAATGTTGATTTCTGTCACTGCTTACTGCTTGCCTGCTGGATTTGGGAGCCACTCACTGGGTGAACGGAGTATGTAAACGTTTCTTTCTTTTCTATTCTATACCTTTGATTGTTGGGAGCTAATTGGATAATGTTCCGTTATCCGTATCAGAGATAGCCAACAGGCCCTGTTCCATGTTCATTCTAGTGGCGCAGAGGTGCCGCGGGGGGCGCCCGGCACGTCCGTGCGTTCATGTCGACATGATGCGATACGCACAAGGCGCTGTTTACCCTGTTCCATGTTCGTTCTAGTGGCGCGGAGGTGCCGCGGGAGGCGCCCGTCCGTGCGTTCATGTCGGCATGAGCTGATGAAGTATCAAACACAGATACAACGTCAGTTCGCCTCGGTTACACATGCACAAGGCGCCGCTGTCATCGACGCTGCCGATCGTTGAGTTCATTGTCGATGTCTGCTCATCCCATGACGGAGACTCGTTCGGTGCACCGGTGTTTCTGGTAGAAACCCTGTTCCATGTTCGTTCATGTTTCTGGTAGAAAACAGTAGAAAACATGCAATAAAGAATGTTGCTAAAGATCGATATTTTGTTGAATATGTTGCGAGACATTTTTTAGAATTTTGGCATTTGACATTGTGTTGCAAGACAAATCGCAGGTAACAACATAGCATCTAGCGACATTTCTTGTATCGGCTTTGTCATCAATGTTCCGTATTTATTAAAATTACAGCTGCAAATGCTCTGGTTATGTCAGTCGGTGCTTGTGCAATGTTATTTAATTCGTCTGGCCTGAAATTAGGAGTGACTCAACCCGTATATTTGGGGTGACATCACACCCTTTTTGGAAAACTCCAGAACTTTAACTTTATCTACTCTAATATAAGTACTGTATTTGGGATGAGTACCTTTTTGGGAGTTTTGGAACCACTTAGCTCGTCTCGTTTTCGGTGTGACATTACTCCACAGACAAATTTAAAGGAGTTTCACTTGCAGAACAGGAGTAGTGAAACTCCCTTTTACGATCATAGCTCCGGAATAAGGAGTGGTTAATAAGGAGTTTTATTACTCCTCTTAGGTTCCACTACTCCCTATTATTTTTCACTCCCTAAAAGGGAGTTTCAATTGCGTTTTACAAGGGAGTTTCAAAACACCAAGAGAGTAATGAATCGCCTTTTGATAGTTTTAGGGAGTTATGGATAGAACTCCAAAATAGGGCGAATATCTACTCTAATATAGGTACTGTATTTGGGACGTCAGAACCCCACGTAGGGGAGTAAATATTTTTTCCGTGCAGAGGCCCCGCGATCATAGGTACAGGGCATTGTAACCGTCGAAGGGGAGCAGCTGTTTCAACAAAGCCCCAACAACACCCCAGCGTCTTCACTGCTCATGTGGAGTGTTGTGGTAATGGCGTTCAACCAGCGGTGCGCAGGCAAAGTAAAACATCTGGGGAACTTTCTCGTGCAGAACGTGATTGGACACCGGGAGGGCACGACAGTGCCCAAGGCGCTGCGGCCGGTTGTGGAGATTTTGACCACGTGAGGGTCCACTGTGTGCCTCTTGGGCACAACTACGCTGCCAACAGTGCCGCGCTCAGGCGCTTTGTGTGATTCTGGCCTGAAGACCTTTCAGCATGATCTGTGAACTATTTGCGAAGCATGTTTTCTAACTTGCGTTTGCCTTTTGCTGCGCGTTCGTAAGTGCATAAGGATGTTCCTCACTGAGGCGTGAACGTCTAGCTTGTGACGTAGCGTTCTAAGGTTAATACAACGTTCATTGCAAAACTTGTGGTTATGATGTATGAATGAATATGAAGCCACTAGAAAGCCCATCTGACACCAGCTAAAATATGGGGGGGGGGGGGGTCCGCACCCCGGGGGTACCTTCGTGGGGGAGGGGTCATTCTGACCCCTAAAGTAGTGCCTTGCTGTAACGAAATTTATTAATACCCCGTCCTCCACCTCCCTCTGTACTTACCGCCCAGCCCCCTTACCCACTAACGATATCCTTATATGGTCCTCGCTTCTCACCTGTGATTATAGCGCAGGGTGACTAATTATCAAATGTTCTTGCATGATCTTCATAATGAGCATTGAACAATTGTCAAGGTATAATGCTTGCTTGTTAAAGTGTTATAAAGAACTTATGTCAGAAAAAACAACTTGTAGAATTGTGTCTTTCCATATCATTCTACAGGGAAGCCTTGGCTGCCGCTGAAGAGGATGCAACCGGCAGGATGACAGTAATTGACAGACTGCTTGCAGATATGCAAATGCCAGATGCTGTAATGCTAGTCCATGTCTCTGTTTCCTTTCTTAGATTATATTGCCTGTCATCCTTTTTTATGTGTCTGCCCAGACAGGACAAAATAGATGCTTGTGCTAGTTGATGTTTATTTCTTTCATGCTCTTTCTTTCATGCACGAAAGTCCGACAACTAACATCAGTGATACTAACACCTCGTCTCAAGCATTCCGAAGAATTATATGCTTTCATGCTTTTGTTTCCATTTTATACATTCTTGCTCGACTTCCTTTCAGTCATTTCTCATATACGTTGCCACTTTAAGGCAATCTAAAGTGGTTTGATATACCAAAATATGACAACTTTTATACCTACCTACCCCACATATCCAGTGTGGAACATTTCTAAAATTTTTCATATACCTACTTTCCTTTACTGGTTTGCTAGAAATGCTGGGCCCTGTTCAGTCGCTGTTTTTTATCAGCAGACTTACGGCGTTGGCGCGTCGATTTACGTCATGGTTACATGACGTCATCACTGTTAGCTGCGTGATATGTAAATGAGCCAATTACACCAACACATGTAGGCTGCTCGTAGTTAGACCTGTGCAGACGTCAGCAGCAACGTCAACGTACGTCAGCAAACCTGCGTGCGTTTCTCAGTCTCTCATTGGTCAACAGCACAGCCCTTTCTTAGTCCTATTGCTTTAACACAGTAGCCACCTACTAGTGGGCTGTTAGGGAAGCTGTTTTGGCAGCAGCGACCGAACAGGGCCCTGCTTTTCTTCCTTGCATCAGCTTGTTTCAAACTATTGTATAGGGTACCAGAACATGCTTATTGCTTACAAGTTTTTACGCATGGCCATTGGCTTTGATGTCCTGTATTATTGATTGCATAACTTAACCAATGGTTTTGTGTTGAACTGCTTCTTCAAGTCGTCTGCAATATATGCGTCACTTCAGGTACATACATGTGTATTGTAAGCTCGTATGTTAAACATCGGTTAGTAATAAAAACTAGTAAAACTTAATTTGGTAAGTTATGCCATATGCAATGGCGGATCCAGCCAGCCATTCGGGGGAGGGGGAAACCAGTTGGGACAAGGACGATTTCAACGTTAAAAAAGTTGTTGAGCGGGGGAGGTAATATTTTTTACTTGTTTCCTTTCGTTTCACTACTTTACAGACATGGAATCTGGTCCTCAGTTAATTGTATGGCTATAATCACATTTTCCTTTCCAACAGAGGATCCTCCAGAGGCTGACAGAGGAGGGCAGGGTAGAAGATACCCTTCGGAGCATCCTCCAACAGTACCCGTCCTTGGCAGCCCAGGTGGAGGCGGGCCTACAGGGCGAGACTCGCAGGTAGGATAGCCGATGCCCGACACCCGACAACCGTTTCGGAAACAATATTTATATGATCCATTTAACCAAACTTTCTTCATTTCAGCAAGTAAAACTGGTGGCTCTCACAGAGGCTACCGTTGCCGCGGCGATGGTTTACCATTCTGAGACGAGGGGCATTCCCATCAGACGTGTGGAGGAGGACCCCGAGCCTGGGGCGCTGAATCGGGCCCGCCGCCATCAGGCGTACAGACAGTTCACCATGTGGCGGTAACGCTACTATTCCCTTGCAGACCTCAGTCACTGAAATTAGAAAAAAAACATAACCTGGGCCTCGATCCGTATATCCTGGTGTACAGCAATTAAAATAGAGCACAATTGTTACTATCTCCACGCTTGGTAGAGTTCTTTGGTGTTGCTGTTTCTAAAGGGGGCGAAAAGGTGGTTCGATATATCATCTGACAGGTGTATCGCTGTTACGTTAACAAACTTGCTTAACCATTGTAAACACCGGTGCCCGCCGCTTAACGATACGTTACTGCTTACAATGTGCTCCCTAAGTGGCGATTTGCGTTTACTCTCAGGTGGGGCCGGCTCGGCACGGGGCAGCGCCGTGTCGTTCCGGCCTGCGTGGTGACGGCCATCCGAACCAAGTGGCCGGACCTGCACGGCCGCTACGTCGGGTTCAAGCAGCTCGAGGACATCCTATGAGCAGGGGCATGCCGCCCGCGCGCTGGCAGCGGATGTCGCCAGTGGGGGAGCCGCGCAGACGCTCCAGGACCGGATAACATTCCGTCTCGTTTGATTCAATTGTACAAGGCCGTAAATATAACGATGTTTTGTATATCGTTGCAATTTCCCACAACTTTCAGCACACTAAGCCAGACAATACTGCCGATGACGTCACAGGAGTTATCGCGCGCCAGTCACATCCGCGGAGTCCTCGGTGGAAAGTGCAACTTCCGAAGTCAATTCCGGAGTCAATTTTTTCTCAGTGTATACTGCTATTGTGTAATGACGATGCGTATAGGTATGTTAGGTAGCATCTGTGTTATGTCAGCATTGTGTAGACAAAGGGATCACGAGGCCGCAACGTGCGGCTCCATTAAATTCACAATACTGATCGAACTACTGGTGTAATGCCAGCGCGACCTGGCTATGTGGAGCTATTACCAAGAGAGTAGCTAACCCACCTTCCGTGTTCTTACAAAATGGTGCATCGGGAGAGAAATCGAAACTGGCAACATTCAACAACGGCCAGCTAGCATTGGAGGCTCTGAGCGATCAACCTTCCCTGCCAACCTGCGCCCTAAGTGAAACACTGGATGATGGACAGCTTGTATAAGAGGCTATGAGCAGCTATTATATCATGAAAGACCTATCATATCATATCATATCTCTTGGTAAATCTAAGCCTGAGGCGTCCCTTACATTTCTTAGATCACCACCACATTGATGTGTTCGACAGGAATGTCCTCGACGATCTGCTTCCTAACGGACATCTCGCAGAGAGGCTATAAACTCGTAACAGTAAGACGACTTCTATGAGTAGCTGGTAACAGCCGTCCTAGACCAATAGGGATGCGTCTTACGACCCTTCTCATTGAGTTCAGGCCACAGTCGGGTGATCTTAATGCGATCCCCGCCATGCAGCCCAGAGAACCTGGGAATGCTCCGGGAAGCATTGAACTACGATCCCGAGCGAGAGGACCGAGGCCGAATCACTGTGGCGCGACCTCATCCGAGTCCACTGCAGGAGCGGCTACCCTAGGCAACCTCAATGGAGCCGACCTGATGAGGATTATGCCTATGAGATTGCAAGGCGTGGCTAAGGCCTTTTATCGCACCTACATGGAAGGCAAAGGCTTGGACACTCGTTCCCCAATGCTGGGACAGCAGTGGGAGGGCTTCAGAAAGGTGCTCCTCGATCGTTTTTTTTTTAAGGCCACCGGCTCAGTCACAACCCTGATGAACCAAGCTCATTGTCGTCAGAGTGACCGCGAGTCGGTAGGTATACGGGCCTACGCGCAGTCAGGAGCATGACCCACCAGCTGTGGCCATCGGTCTCGGCCTCGGCCAACCCCACTAATGTCAGCCTTATTGAAAAGTTGTTTTATCAGCATATTAGCAAAAAGCCAAAAAGTCCTTAAGACGAGTCTGCAGGAGTATTTACACTTTCATTAGCTTTCAATAAATAAACTGCTCAACACACATATATCCGTAAACTCTGCGAGTCTCCTACAAGACTATATGAGGCAAACATTTGGCGAAGATGACATATTGCACAAGGAAAGCGGTTCTCACGTAAAATATATGCTTTGAGGTGTTTGATCGGTTTTGAAAGTCGTGCTGCAGCGGCACGTCCTCTCGTGACAGCGTGAGTCGAGGTCGTGAGAGTTCCGCGGAGTCGCAGCTGACGAGAGTGAACGGCGTGACGCCTGGTGTAACATTGCCGATATTAACATTTTAGTAACGAGAACCGTTTCCTTTAGACTGGGTATACCAGGCGTGACTGGGACGCCTACCAGCAGCGGTGAAACGTTAATGACTTATGGTTGGCCTTCCCTTGCAGTCTTCTGCAAGGCATCGGCGTCGGACGGGGTCTGACGAGACGGCTGTAGCGTGACATGTTGAAAATGTCTGCACGCTTCTAGGAAGGTCTGCACGCACATCTTCACAACGACGAACAAACCACGCGTCCCTCAAATGTGAGGAGCCAGCAATGGATGAAATAAGTAGAAAGCACGATCGTAAATGAAGACAGAGCAGAATGCACAATACACTCTCAGAAGCGTTCCATGATTTTGAAACATTCTAGCAGAAACAAGGCCCTACACTGAGAGAAAAGTTGACTCTGTACTAGCTTAGATTCTGTGTTGATGCGTCTACAGCTCGTCATTTATTCACCGTGCCCGCAGCAAAAACTTGTTGTAATCTTCTATTCTTTTCCGTGTTCTCCTATTACTCCAGCTGGATGCTTACAAAATATTCTGTCAATGTGCTAATGTAATTCTGGCTGAACTCTTACTGTCTGACCAACTCTTCTAAAGACATTCGGGTATTCATCCGAAGAGTATTGATGGAGTTATGAGAGCATAATGTAGCCATTTTGTAAAGTGCGTTTGGCCGCCATATTCGTTCTTTCAATGGTGGGGGAGCGCGGAGACACTTTTCACTTTCACAACACTTTTTTCAGAGAGTGCGCTGGAGTCCCTGCTGCGCATCCTCGGTGAGTATGAAGAGATTCTCCCGGAGGAGGCCACCCAACGGCCCCACATCGCTCAGGACGGCATGTCTAACAGCATCCTCGTGGAGGGGACGGTGGTTGGTGAGACAGACGACCTGAAACAGGCTGTGTTTCTGTGGACGATCGCTCACTTCGTCTTCAACCAGAGCACAAGCTGAGTGCAAAAAAAATACGAACTGGTTCCTGAGGGTGTAGGTGCTCGACGGAGTCTGCATCGACCAATGCCCAGATGGTCGTGTGATGGCCGCCATCATTAAGATGTGCAAACCGTGAAGGAAGCGGGAAGCAAGAGGGAATGAGTTATGACGTATCTTGCGAGCAAAGTACCTATGTCTTTACAGAGACTCGTGCGGGTCTTGTTTTTCTTGCTGGAGCTACATGGAAGAACTTCTGTATGTTTTGGTTAGCGAGTGTTCGACTTACGCTCATGTAATACCAACTGGGAGCGAGAGGTCGGAGATGTAACACAGACGTTTCCTGCAGAGACACGTGGGGATCTTTTTTCTTTCGTTTTTTTTTTATTTTTGCTGGAGCTACGTGGAAGAACTGCTGTATGCTAATGTTGGTTCGCGAGTGTTCAGCTCACATTTATAATACATTCGAATGAAAATGTTTGGATATGTTTCGTCTGGTGGCAGGCGTTTGAAATAATTAAAGGAATCGGTATGGATTTGCAGAATTGTAGGAGAGTTTTACGAGAGTTTTTGAGGATGATTTTGTAAGAATAACCGAGCATTTTAAAAGCATAGGGAAGAGTATGCCAAAAAATATGCGGGGATCTGAAAGGAGTCCTGAAGGAATCGATAGCATTTGTGAGATGTTTGGGAGAGTACCAAACGAGTTTTGGGTGGGTTGCTACCCAGAAGAACATTGAAATCATAATAGATGGATCGGCGCAGAGTTTTGACAGAATTCCACAAGAACTCGTGGGAGTATTGAAAGAGTGTTAATAATTATGGGGTGTTTTGAAGAACATTAGAAGGGTCATGTAAGAGCAGGGAGAATATTTGTGGAGCCATGGTAGAGTAGGAGAGGAGTTTCAGATGAGTTTTATCCGAGTTTAGTGTCGAAGAAGAGTTGCATCGAGAATCAAAAATGACAACTCTCCCTAATGTGCTGGGAAGAGTCAACTTTTCTCTCGGTGTATTCCTAAAACTACGGAAACGTCACTGAAGCGGAAAAAGCCACTTCACAAAGCGTGGCAGCCGAAAGACTTTGTGAAAAGCAATGCATCCGTGTCCAGAAAAAAGTGTTGTACTCTCACAATGGAACACCACGTATCCACAAGCAAACACAAATGGTGTCCAGGCGATAATTGAATGAGCAACATGCTACGCAAAACCTTGGCCAAAGCGCCAAAGAACTCAACTCTTGGCCTGCTCCGTCTCAGTCGGCACGGAAGTTAGGCTGTCAGAAAGAAGAAAACATTGCCATTCACGACCAAACAGGGAAGACAAAATACATAACTGCAATTCACTTACAATCAAGGAAGCAAACTCGATAAAGTTCGATAAATGTGTCGTCAATGAGCTGTGCTCCTGCCTTGCTGTGTGAAAAAATATCAAATGACCTATCGATCGCTCTGCACCTGTGACTGAACATAAACAAACTGACAACGAACTGAACTTCTCTCTATGTCTGTATCCTATATGAGTATGTAATATGTATATGAGTATTTATGTATGAATGCATAAAGGAAGTCACTAGCGTACGTATCCCTGGCTGTATGCATATACATGGTACAGTCAAGACCTCTGTCACAGGGCG